TGATAACCCACATGGCACAAGAACACATGGCTACTAAGAAAGGTTTTCCATTAATGTTTGGGCAGGCATTGTGCGCAATAACTTAGTAGGACCGTACCTAGTCGTTTAACCTTCCACACATACGGCATCTTCCTACAAGAGGTCTTCTGAAGGTTCTTCCTAATACCTAACTTCTGGACGATGTTCCCCCAGCTGTTCGCGCACGAATGTGGTTACAGCACGATGGAGCCCCAGATCACTTCAGCAGGAACGTCAGGAACCATATGGACGTTGTCTACGCCCAGCATTGAATAGGACGGGGCGGACCTGTTCCTTCCCCACCGCGCTCCCCAGTTTTGACGTGCTTGAATTTTTTTTTGAGGTCACATTAAGAGCATGGTGTACGATAGTCCCATAACATCTGAAGATCTGGTTGCCCGATTGTCTGTGCCGCAGGGAATCTTGTATCACTGTTGGTGGTCGCTCTTTCGAGTAGCTATTTTAAACCGCTTGATAAATAAACTGTTGCTTTCTTTTGTCTTTTCACTTACCTATTGTTAATATTACCTTATGTGCTAGCATTTCAACGCTGCATTTCCGCACCCACATTCCTATACGAAATCTGCTTATTTAGGTTCCCTCTACCTGCCTTTATATCTCTGACATATAGTTTTGAAACACCCTGTATCATTATTCTCTTCCCAAAGAAAAACGATTTACATTTGGTAGTTACACGAAAGTATTTCCAGAACCAGAATAAAATAAATAACAACTTACGTAAACAATGTATTAACTTCTAGATCATATACACGAATTTAAACACAAGACATCGATGCGTATTATCCGTAGGCAAACATACAGTACGTTAGGACACGGTCGGATGGCCGAGAGGTTAGGGTGGCAGCTCGGGGACCAGGGATCGATCCGGACGGATCAAAATTTCCCAGGGATTTTTCGGGGATGGTCCGTCCGATATGTCGGGACTCGTCCATCAACACCCGGCAGAGCCCATAATTGGCTTACTAAAGAAGGGAGCCTTCTATAGTAAGTCAATTATGGGCTCTGCCGGGTGTTGATGGACTAGCTCCGTTAGTGGAAATGGAATCTTTTGCAGCCGAAGAGTAAATTCATTTTACATTTTGACTTTTAGTACTGTGCCATTAACCATTATTGTAAGTATTAGTTTCGGTCTGATAATCAGGACAGTAATTTTCCATATTTAACGATATATCTAAGCAATCCTGCTATCAAGTCCAATATCAAAATTTTAATTTAGCAGTCCTATTGACTTTAAATACGAAAAAAGGAAAACGTTAGTATGGCTGAAATCGCCGGTTTGTAGTAAGAGTATAATAAAAGTGTACTTTTGTTTCCCTTTCTTTGTTTCAAAAATATTCGATAGAATGTAGAATGCATTTTACCCAGTTCAACGTTGCAATCCATTGATTACATTACAACTATCGCCCATCACTAGAGTAGGTCGCGCTTCGATTGTGAGAAATTTTGACCAATCAGAGCGTGGGCTTACTGTGCATTTGCTTATCCTGATTGTATAAAAGAAAATCGCTTCCGCTCCCGAAAAGCTTAGTTCACACTAAGCGCGATTCGCTGGCGAAAGCGAAAAACAGGTCAGACATGACGTCGTTTCCGGCGAATTTTACCATTTCGCGAATCGCTTCGAAATTCGGAACAGTCGAGCTTTCTCGCTAGCAAAAAAATTTCGCTACCAATCGTATTCCCGCTAGTTGTCACGTGGTTCTTGTTTTCAAGATGTGTACAGAACCTTTCTCACGCAATAGAGATGATGTTGTAATTCATGGTTTTTTTAATATTCCTCACACCAAACATCGTTTTCTTTTTCACGTATCTTTCTCCCCTCAATAAATAAATGTGACTAACAGCAGAATATCAGAAGCAGTTATTCTGTTTTTGGAGATGACGTTCTCTCTTGCTTGCAATGATTGGCTGCTTAAAATTCGCAATTGCTTTTGGTTGCGTGGATCAATTTCGCAATCGCTTTCGGTCATTGTGGACTAACCTTAATGGTTAATCCGCCACTGCTTACATGAAAGTAGAATCTAGCGATGATTTTCCGATTTTCCACTTGCCCGCATTTCATATTCTTTATTTTTATGCATTTAAAAATGAACAAATGACTTCGGGACAATTTTTATCCGTCATTCAAATTTCTTCCCCTTAATTACATTTATGGATCCCTGACATTGGAGAAAAGACTTCAAACGTGAAGGAAACCCAGAAGAATCCACGTGGCCAGCCCACTGGTGAGGCGCGAACCCGCGACCAACTACCAGTGTTCAGCGATTTTATCCACTCGGCAATTGGGGGCTAAGGGATGAGATTTCAGGAAAACCAGCCTTCGTAGGTAACAGTTGGCAAAAATCAGCGTCCACGTTCCCTCAATAAAAAACGTCTAAATGGCCTCGCTAACCACATTTAAAACGTCTATGGCCTCGCTAACCAAATTTAAAAAAGCACACGTATAAAATGCCTTCCCCTTCCTGTCTGTCTTATAAAATAGTGCACTTCTCACTACCTCCTTCTCAAGCTGTACACGTAATCAATGGATAGTTCCTAGAATGCTTTGTAGACATCGCATATTTTAGAATAATAATAAAACAAAACTATCATTATGAGGATCAAAGTTCGAATTCGATTCGGATTTTTTTATTTATCATGCAAATAGACTCCAGTGCGGATCGGATATGACAGGCTAATTAGTATTAGTTAATTTGTTTTTCTTTCCATTTTTGTCTAAAAGTCTACACTTACACAGAAAATAGTCTACACATAACGTTCCATTTAGAACGTGCAGATTTGGCGTGCACCTTTATTTTCAGTTGAGAATACAAACACAAATGCACCAGTATTTTATTTTCTACACACTTTTCTTTCATTGAGTTTATTTCAAAAAAATTTTTAAATTAATGTTTACATTTGAAGCAGTGGAATTTCTTTGTCCCGGCTTGCCCAAGACAAAAATCTACTTAAAATCAGAAATTTTAAGTATTTATTTAGTGCAATTCAGCGGCGTGTTATAGCTTCGTGGGGCCCAAACAAATTTGAATTAGGAGGCCCCGTGTACAATGTTGATTGACTTCAGGGAAATTTTTTCTTATAAAGACCGATTTGGGGCCTTTTTGTCGGTGGATGTCCCGGGCAATTGCACTTTTCTCCCGTAGGATAACGTGCTGTTTCTGTTTTAGAAACAAGTATGATTTTTAAATTCAAAACTAACAATACGAGCTCTAATTCATTTTGACCATGTATCAATTATTTAAATATATATTTTTATTTTATAAAGTAAAATTAAATACAATCATTTATTTAACATTAATTACACTAAACAAAATAGAAAAAATTATGCAAATTACACATAATATATATATCAAAAATAAAACTTAAATGGTTTAGCAGACTTATAAAGGTAATAAATGCTTAAAAGTACATAGTAAAACTGATTATTTATTATACAGATTCTCAAGCATATAAGTATATATATATATATACGAGAAAATAATAATATATACAGTATATATATATTATTATTTTCAAGTTCTTTCAACTACACAGGTTCTTACCTTATGTAATTTACATACCAGATGATCCACAAGTCCTTCCACATAACAGCCATTCGAGGGACCAAGAATGTAAAATTTTCTTTATGTGATGACAGTGAACTAGACACACACTCAAATTTACTATTTCTGGTTTTTGCTTAAGTATACACATATTTATTATTAATATACATTTATTTAAGTGTCTTCAATTTGGAGACAGAAATGGCTATTATGTCAAAAGACTTCTGGATCACTCTGTATAGAAATTGTTTAGTTGAACATAACAAAATCATCTAGAAAAGATGGAATCTAACACAGAGATGGAAAACTTTTTTATTCAGAAGACTGCATTCTAGTTTGGAAGGATTTCTTAAAACTGCACATTGCATAAGTTTATGCATTAAGCTTGTTTATATTTATCAGGTGCACTAGAAGTCGTGTAAGTTTGCATGTGGCCTAAATGCTGCAACTTTCCCACCTCTGATCTAACATACTTTAAAATAATACTAAATTAGAAATGATATAAACTTAAAACTGATATTATACCTAAGACATCTGTTAATTTTATTTCGTTCAGTTCGACAGAAGATTAATACAAAATTTTGTTATAAAAGTGTCAGCAGAACAACATTTGTTTGTACAAAGACTGCATAGATCTTACCTTCCCTTAAATGTGCATATTTAATTTATAAATATAAAATTACAACATAAATTATGCAAATATATGATGTGCAGTAAAATTAGTATCATTTTATTTGAACAATTATATTAAAACCTATGTTTAAACAGGAGCAAAAAATGATTCAATTTGGACTGTAAATTTCGGCACTTAAATTGAGCTCAAAATTCTAGTTTGACCTTATAAATTAAGGCTAAACCAGAACTCACTACAGAATTTGGTTAGTTTGGTAGAATAGTTCCCATGAGAACTTTCCACAGAAAACAGCCTCAATTTAGGCATTAGATACGTGAAGGAAACCTCACGGCTGGCCCTTTGGTCAAGTGCACACCACAATTGACCACCAGTGTGTGGTGGTTTTATCTATTTGGCCACCCCAAATATACAGTATGTAAAACTTATTATATATATATATATCAGATGAGTCCGGTGTTGCTCAAGCTAAAAGTAACAATAGTAAAGATAAAAATTATTAGATTATAGCCAAACTTATCCATTTTCACTGGGTGCAAGAATTAGGTCCCCCCTCTTCCAAGACTAATTAGAGAATTTTTAATGGATCTAAAAATATGTTCTCACAAAAATCATATCTAAAATAGTACAGCAGAAGCCAAGTTCTTCAGGATAATCCTTAATCCTCTCTCTCTTCCCTTGGAAGGATTTTGAAAAATCTTGTCTTAGTGTATAGTACATACATTCTCATGACGTACCTCAACTGTGTACCAAATTTCAACTTTCAAATCCTAACCGTTTGGGCTTTGCACTTATTATTATTATAATCAACCCATCTCAATTATAAGATATACCCACATTACACTTATCAGTCATAATTTGAGCTTTTTCAAGCTTAAAAAGTCAACTTATACATTGCAATTTACAGTATTTAGCTATGATTAAGTAAATAATCACTATTTTTCTTATTTTTTTTTAATGTATTTTCTTCATGCTAGGAAGAAAAAAAAATCAGAGAATGTTCTAAGTGACAAAGAATAAGGAAAGATACAATAAAATTTTTCAATTACTTTGTGTCAATGTAAAATAACTGTTTTAATTGTCATTCATAGAGCATTTACTTTAATTTTAAAATATTTTAAGACTTTTTCGTGTGTTTTTTTAATCAAACAAGTATATACAGTAATAGGGGTAAGTATATCCTACACAATCAATATTTACATTTTATACAAAGCCAGCTCAGAATTGTGGAAATCTGAACAGACTTAATTATAGATGCATTCATGCTATTTTATACAATTTTTGTAAACTATTTTGTAATATCAATTCATCTTTAATTTGTAAAAAAGTGTGATAAACTAATTCTAATTTCTAACACTTCAGTTCTGTGAGAAAATGAAAGATTATAATACTTTTTACTATAGATTTTAGCTTTTAGTACTATAAAAGTTTGGCATCTTGAGTCTGGGCTTACTGCAGGTACACACATCTGCATGGTTATTTTAAAATTTTTGTTCCAAACAGTAAAAAGATACTTAATTTATCGTATCTTATAACGTAACAATATTATCACATTTTAACTGTACAGCTTCAAAATAAAATCTTACAAAACTTTGCACAATAAAACAAAAAAAATTTTAACAGGAATTAAACTTAATACTTATTAATATTATAAAATGCATTAATAATTGTTACATGTATTATTGTATTGGTTGGTGCAAATCATTACAATGATTTGCTCCAATACATATAAAATGAGAGAACAAGACAAGAATTCTTCTGGAGATAACAGAAATAAGTATAAAAAATAAAAAAGAACTCATTTATTAAAGTATCGGTACGTAATCTATATTAAAATGATTTTCATGCATTTTCCATTATTTTCTGAAGATTTCTGATATAATTTTCTTTTTGGTCAATTAAAATACCTGTCTTATGTTTAGTTTTATAAATGCAAGACATCAATATACATAGGCTATACAGGCTCCGTCCATTACTTGTGACCTATCTTGTAATGAAAACGGTCAGTATGTTAGAGGAAAGGAGACCGTCCAATCCAAATTACACATGGAAAATCATAAAAATTCAATTAGCTTTAAATGTAAAACCCTAAATGTAATACACAAATATCAGACAGCCATGTGATTAACAGATTTCCCTGAAATTCTTAATTAAAAATGTAAAATGGAATTATTTTATACAGCCTAAATGCTGTGCTATTCCACTTTGTTAATGTTTCTATAAAATTAAGTTTATCATCTTTATATCATTGAAATAATAGCAGCTATAAAATGCACACGATACTATTCAAATATTTCAATATAAATATTATGGTATAAGCAGTAATAACTCTTCTTTGTGAATTTATGTTTCTTTCAAAGAATAGAAATTTATCAAAAAAAATACAATTTTAATATAAAATTCATTTTAGAAATTGTGCACCGATTAACTAATAAAAATTCACAACTATCAAGCAGGATTTGCTCAGATTTACTGTAATATCTTCGGTAATTTATCATTCCAGTCAGCAGCCTGAAAAATAAATATACTTGAATAAATTAAAGAGAATTTTTGTTAAGATGTTTTATTAAAACATAAAACATTAAGTAATGTTGAGAAATAAAAATTAACACAAAGATTAAATTTTTAAAAATTTAAGTGATTATATTTAATTAATTACTGATATAAAGTAAACTGAAAATACCACACCAAAACAAGCAACAGATTACTAGAAATCAAATGTAATGGAGTCTATCCTGATGACTTATCTGGAGTAGTGCTGACAAAAATGGAAAAATTCTCAAAAATTGGCCAATTGGTTTTAATTAGTGATGTAACGAATATTTGGTTACTATTCGGCTGAATACCGAATATTTAATCACTATTCGGCCGAATACCGAATACCTAAACACAGGAGTAAAAAATAACAAAAACACAGTAAATTAATCATTTTGGTATTTAGATTTAATGTTATCGGGTTAGTGTTGTTTGTTTATATTTACAGTATTTATAACTTATAGCATGCACAAAATAAAAAAGAACATAATATTAGTCACTTCTATTCACGATTTATAATTACAAATATCAGCACACGTATACACCTATTCGTTCAAGAATCATTGCACATCTGAGGGTCTGACCCTGCCTATCCTTCTTTTTAAGCACTCATGTTTGCTCTTCTCTTTCCTCTATCGCTCTACTCCACATATGCCTATGCATACATCATAATATGCCCTCACGATACTTTCGATTCGTCGCTTTTCCGTCGTAATTTCCCATTTTACAATTGCGTGACTCATAGCCTGGTGATAATGGAGAAAAGAGACAGATAGTACGTCGGTATAAGTCACAGTTATGATTTCACAGATTTGAAACAGCTTGGTAGCCCGAACGACCCCACGCTTTCATCCGTGCATGCTAAGTGACTTTCATCACAAGCATTTAGCTTTCCAAAGTCTATGACAACAATTGTTTGGTATTGACAGCCGCGAATTTCGTGCCAATAAGCTGCCTCGACTTGTTCGATTATGTTATCAACTCAATTTCTTATTTATTTTCACATTTTCACTTCGCGGTCCTTCTCTGTTCTTTTTCCATTATTTACACGTGTAGGTCATTTCATTGTTATCCACATTTGATATCATCACTTATCACATACTGCCATGACGCTCTTGTCTGAACTGTCAAGAATTAATGTGATTGGTGAAGNATGACATGCATTTGACTGATACTTAAATTCTTCCTACACTTGCCACAACATAGCCATTTGTCACTTCTCCCATGACAGCCATAATTCTACGGCTCTTGTAAATTACTCGTGTTGCATGATTACAAGTGATTCCGACTTTGCAAACCACAGAATGCAAAACACCTTCTCTGTTGTGGAGTTGCCATTTTCATTTACGACACTTTCTCCCACAAGGTCTTTCTGTCGTAATACCATGTAAAAGTCAATACCATTAGTTTGAAATGTCTGATTAGATAACAGTCTAAGCTGCATCCTATCTTGTTGAAGCGTAGTGACAGTGGGCCAATAGAGAGCAGGGTCCTTACCATAATGTGGTTTGCGTGCCAATTTTTGTACGTGCGTTAATCAAGCCGAATAGTTTGGCCGAAAATTCGGCTATTCGGCCATGCTCCTGGCAGAATATTCGGCATTCGGCCTGAGGCCGAATATACTATTCGTTGCAACACTAGTTTTAATCAAAACCAGTTTTTACATTCCTGATTCCAAACCAGTTTTAAAAACCACTTTGAATTTGGTAGAATTAATGTTTTATTACCACATTTTATTAATATTTATAAAGAACTGATTCAGTGGTGCCCCATACTTCAAATTTAATTCATTCCAGAAGATTGTTCAAAGTCTGAACCAATTTTTCCTGTTAGAAATAATGGAAAGTGAATTAATCCATTCCCAGACTCTAAACAATACCCATTTTGATAAACTTAAAGTAGCAAATATGCATAATTTAAGACAAAAATAACATAATTAAATGTCCTAAATAATAAACAAATATGAAAACAATTTTTATTCTGTTTTGGTTTAATCAGTACACTTGCTGTTCTTACATCCATTTACCAGCAAGTCAGTTTCTTACAAATACAGTAGAGCATTGATTATCCGACTCAATTGGGGACTCGGGTTGGTCGGATAACTGAAAAAATTGGATAATCGAAAAGAATGAAAAAATACATTATTAGTATATTAGTATATTGCTATTAACATACTTCACGTTGAATTTTCATCGATGTTAAGCATAACAAAATTTTTTAAAAATAATAATTGTAGCTATTGTATCATTAAAGAATATTTTAAAATTATTTTCTTGCTCACAAAACAAACAACCACTCATAATTAGAAAATTAAATCTCATTTAAATACTGGCCTCCCTTTCATGGTCAAGCCAGTGTTGTCAGCTAAAACACGCAAAAATTTAACAAAAACAATATTAAAGTAGCCAAGACATAGCCAAATATTGTAGTGCCACATCACTAGCGAACACTTGAAATTTGCTGACTAGATCGGTTAACCGATGTGACGGTTAATCGGGGGTCGGATAATCGATGCTCTACTCTATAATACTTTCCACCATATAGAAATTACATCTCTAAAGGAAAAATATAAAATTAAAAACAATCAACTACATATATATATAAATTAAAAGTACAAATATCAATAAAATAACAAAAAATAACTAATATTTCTACAAGCATAACATTAATAATAATAAAATATTCTAAAGTATAACATATGCAAAAAAAAAACACCAAAAATTCAGCAAAAGAAACATAAACTTTAATGAAAAAAACTAATTTTTGACAGCTTTTAGCAATCATTCTGAGCATAAACACTTCACCTTTTTCTCCCCAAAAATCAAAACCATGCACTCAGATCAATATGTGTATCAAATTTAGTTTGAGTGTTGCCAAATATATACTAAAAATATTTGCTTGAATCTGTACTCTGCTTTTATTTTTAAATTTGAAAGAAAAATCAAATGTTACATTACCCTATCTATCAATTTATTAATTTAAGAGTTTGTATCTGTTAAATTTTTCTTGATTTATAATTAATAAAATCTTACTTTTTCATATTTAAAATTAAAGTAATCAATACTTACGTTGAAAACTATTTTTAGAATAATAATGGACATCATTCCCAAAACAAAAACGGCTAAGTAAGGCAAACAAGATGGTATGTAATTCTTTCTCTTCTTTAAAAGAAATCTTAAACGACTGCTTTTGGCTTCAGAAAATGGAGGATAGCGATCACTATGTAAAAAATTGAAAAACTGCTTAAAAGTAATTTAACTATTTTATTTTATAAAACATTATGTTCAACCTAATTTCTCTGCTCTAAAATACAGAGTCTTCTAAAAAAGAATTCTACCGTTTCAAAACTATTATAATTACGTTTATTATCCAAGAACATTGTAACATACATTAAAACATTAGAAAACCATCTGTTTTACATTTGCCCATTACAATTGCTCAATGAGAATGCCTCATGTTGAATGACATGCATTTGACTGATACTTAAATTCTTCCTACACTTGCCACAACATAGCCATTTGTCACTTCTCCCATGACAGCCATAATTCTACGGCTCTTGTAAATTACTCGTGTTGCATGATTACAAGTGATTCCGACTTTGCAAACCACAGAATGCAAAACACCTTCTCTGTTGTGGAGTTGCCATTTTCATTTACGACACTTTCTAGACACAGTAAACAACGAGACATTTGAATTCAGACAGGATAAAAAATTGTAATGGTTACACTATCAATTCATGTAAGTTGCATACTTCTCCAGTAATAAGTAACATAATTAGTGATTTAAAATGATAGCATTCATTTTGAAAGACCCTGTATTTAGTAAAATATTTCCATAATGTTTTATGAATAAGTGGATACATAAATATTGTTTAATGAAGATAAATTATTAATACCTTGCATCATTTGTCATATATATTTAACAAAGCTTCCTTATATATCAAATTGATCAATAATTAAACTATAAAGATACTGACACTGTTACCAGCTATTTGTATAATTGTGCCAGGATTTACTTATGAAAGTCCTACATTAAATGTAAAATATTGATAACTAGAGAGCTTCATAAATCTTATCAACTTCTATTTCCAGTATTAAAAATTAATTTTTCTATAAAATTCCATGTAACCAAATTGAACTATTTACAATCAAATTCTATAAAATTTATTGTAGTTTGTTATATTATTTATAGCAAATTATACTTTAAAATAACTCAAGCATATATGCACACAATTATAACACTTCTTTCAGGACTGTACATTGTGAATAGTGCAATCCCCAAATTGCTATAATTTTTAAATTTAAGAAAATTAATTTCATTTTAGAATAATGTGAAGAAAACATTGGCCCAGAGCGGGACCCTAACCTACAATTCCTGCTCACCATGTTGATGCATTACCAATTATGGTACCAATATCTCCATTTGATCTTTGCTTCTGAATTAATTAATAAACTAATTTATATATTGGTCACTCAGTTAATTATTTAGTCTGGAAGCCAAGACCAGACAGAGGTCTGGGTAGTGTAACTGGCAATGCATCAATACAGTAAGCATGTTTGAGTCCCACTCTCAGACTATCTTTTCTTCCGGATTATTCTAAAAGTAAATTAATTAAATTATTTACAATTATTAAATTAAATTATAGGTCTACAATTTTTTCAAATTGCAGCCCAATAAAAGACAGTAGTCAAACTACCTAACACATACCAAATTTCTTAGAAATTATTTAGCCTAAGTAGCTCGATAAAGGAATCTGGCTGTTTGTTCTATATTTGAAGTAATTATTGGATTGTTGCATTTGTTACTAACCTGACAAATTTATTACTATAAGTATACATAACACTACTAAATATTAATAAATAAATTTTGAATACTTTGAATTCATAATGACTTCGAACAAGAAATGAACTGACAACTCTCAAAATGATTAAGCATATGAAATGTCATCAATTAGGAATGTGTTTAGCTGATGAGTGATGTGTGTGAGTTTAAATCTTACTCCAACAGGTTTTTTGTTGGATAATCTTTAATTCATTAAATATTCAGAATATTTGCAAACAAATATATTATAAAGAAAGTTTGCAAAAACCTTCATTTTAAAATATGTTTCAAGTATATTTTGATTCAATAAACTTGAAGTGAAAATTTTATATCATTTGCTACTTCCAAAAGCAATTCTTACTTTTGTATCAATAATTTTGACAGCATAATTTTATCCTTAATAACTTATTTGATCATAATGAAAACAAAAAAAATTTTCTTTGTAACAAAACTATCCTAAAATAAATCTTTGTTTTGTTAAAAATATTTAAATTGTATTAAAATTAAATAGTTGGATTGTTGGGGACAAATCATAAAACAACTTGCAGGCTAAAGAAGGAAAGAAACACACTAATCTGAAATTTGTTTTAAAAACACACTGTCATTATTGAACAACATTAAAAATGTCTTAAAAATGTATGTATGCATCACAAGATTAAAGCAAGTAATCAATAATAAATAGCATTAATATCTGTTTTATTATAATTTAAAATTAATACTTAAAATTCATTATTTACCTTGCAATTTTTTCTAAAATGGGATTGAAATTTCGAATAAGAACAGATTTCTTGTTTGAAAAAGTGTCAAAAGACGCTTTCCCATGATATTTACTTCCAAGTCCACTGAAGCCAACTCCTCCAAAAGGTAGAGCATCAACTTTACAATTAAAAACACGATTATTAATTAAGTTTAATTATAATAATTAACAAAATAGCAAACAATTTATTAAAAAATAAAAGCACTATCAAATTATCATTTGTCAAAAATAACTTGTATATTATATATGTATAAGAGTTGCCCAAATGAAAGTGAGACTTATTTTCTTTTTTATGTAATGGTTTATTAGTTGGAATACATACAGGAAGTAATAGTAATAGTGTAGTGGCTACATATCCATTACACAGACTCCATCTTGTTAGGTGTATTAAGTTCACGGGTTGGATGTCACGCCAACTTATGTCAATCAAAACTTCTTCTTCCAAGAACGTCAGTCTATGAGGCGTTAAATATACTTGAAATTATTTTAATTTACGAGCGCTTTCGACGTAAATAAGCACGTCGTCTTCAGGTAAAATTCAATTCGAATAAAGAATTCGAACCATACATTTAAATTTAAAACATTAACGATACTAGCCGTTTTTGAACATACAAAAAAGATTTTAAATTTAAATTTTTAGAATTAAACATTTAAAATTGGTGCGCATGCGTTTTAAAACAAATAAACATCGATTGGAGTGGCTATTAATTTTTTTGCATTCTCTT